CCCGGCGAATGCTGCGCTGAGAGCGAGGTCCTCCCGCGGCAAGGCGCTTCCCCCGGTGAGTCAAGTCGTACCTGGGGCTCCACCCCCCTCCCCTCCCTTTCTCCCTCGCTTTGTTCCCTCAGCAGACCCGTATCACTCTTTCCTCACAATGACGGTGACGATCCGGTACACGCTGGCTGCCGTGAGGTTGGAGATGGAGGCGACGTCCTTGATCATCAGTGGCGAGTCGAGCCCCAGCTTCCAGGAGCCCTCCACCTCGGCGGACACGCTCTGCCCGTTCATGACCGTCACCTTCTCCAGCCGCATGCTGGCCTGTGGCAGGGCGTTGGGGTCACACCGAGCTGTTTCCTGCCGCGCCGAGTCCGCGGGCGATCACCAAGACGAGCGCTCACCTCCATGAACGAGTGCCCGTTGCGGTCCTCCACGTTGATGGACGCGTACGAGGGGGGCTCTTGCACCTCCCGCAGGGCGCGCCGCAGGTCGTATCCCTTCCGCACCACCGGGTTCTCCTCCTCGTACTCCTCGCAGCTCGTGTACTCCAGCCTGGGCCACTGGTTCTTGTCCATCATTTGCCTGAAAAGAAAAGGCACCAAGAAAAAAATAGGCCTGCTTTTCTCTGATTAAGGTTGAGAGATCAGCACGTAAATAATTACTTGACTGCCATGAAGGCGCGCAGAGACAGGTCGAAGTAAAAAGCAGAAGCAATTTCCGGCTCAACTGTCAGACTGAAATCGGTTCGAAGCTTTTCCAGGCGTTCACGGGCAGTTGGGTCCGGTTCCGGTTTTAGGAAGAGAATTGTAGCGTTGGTGGCACTGCATTTGAGCTGTCCCTTTTCCTGCAAACGGGGATATATTTATGAATTAAACGCTGAAAAGAAACCAGTTTAATGCTACTGGCAAACTTGTTGCCACTGCCGCAATAATCAGTACCTGTGTAATGGCAAACCACGCGAACTTCCGACCAAAAAACTTGTTGGCGTTTGCCGCATCCAGAACATTCTTGAGCGTGTTGAGGCGGCCTAGAACGAAGAAGTTGACGATGTCCAGGTCGCGCAGGCGGTTGAGCTGTCGCTTGAGACTGCGCGGCTCCTCCACGGCGGCGATCAAGTGGCGCGTGGGCACGTTCTGTAGCAGCGACTTGTACTTGTGGTCCATGACTGCAAACAGTAGCAGGCCACAGCGATCAGGGTCGGCTGTCATTCGGAAATGGAAGCGAGGGTAAGCCGTGTAGGTCAGGGTAGAAAGCGGACTGTACCGAAAGAGTCGTCGAACAGGATTCCCGCGTTGCTGATGTTCCAGGAGAGGACGATGCTCCGGATGACCTCCGGGATCATGTCGGCCGGCGGTGACACCTGCACCAGGTACTTGAGCTGGTCGTCGGACAGGAAGTGCCATTGCCTGCGTGCAGCGGGGAGTTGAATTAGCGATCCCTCGCTCCCTCCCTCGCTCCCTCCCTCCCTCCCTCCCTCCCTCCCTCCTACCACGTACCTCAGGTCGTCGTCTTGGCCGTAGGAGGCGCTGACGGTGGGCAAGGCGAGGGCATGCGTGAAAGACTTGACTGTCTCGGAGGATACGCCGGTCTGCGTGAAGTCCAACACTAAATCGGGGCCCTTCTCCGTCTTCAAAGAGTTGTCGTACTTGTCGCACACTAGATGCGAAGTAAAAGAGAAAAACAAAAAACAAAACAAAATAGGAGTTGATGTTTTGGAGCGGTATTTAGCATCCGGGTTATAGGAGAATAGGCGCAGTCACTCACGGGCCTCGAGGAGCGTCTTTGCGTCCGTAGTGTTGGAGCTGACACGAAGGAAGGAATCGAACTGGATGCCGGTGCTGGCCGTGCGGCGGACATAGTTCAAGGCCACGTCCAAAGCTTTCTCCGCCACCGAATTTGATTCGTCGTTCACGAACACTGCCGAGAGAGTCAGAGTGGTTGTACAGAACGCGTCGACAGCGGGGAACGCCTGCGAGACGGCGGGTAGGCAGACCCGCCGCACGAGAGAGTCGGGCGGGCGGGCCCACCCTGCCCCTACTCCTCTAACCGATTCGTATCTTTGCCCTTCTTTCTGTGGGTAAGAGTTCTGTGATCAGGGTTCAAATATGGCGATGTTTGTTTTGATTATGCAAGGGAAACGTTTCTCACTCCTTTCAAACAGCAAGCCTGATCAGCAATTAAACTTAATGGAACAGAATGGTTCGACGGCTACACCTTTAAATATGTTTTGGAACGAAATGACAAAATCAATAAGAGGAAAAGAGACTTTTCCCGCAGAGAGAAACAACTCAGAGGGTTCGGGAGTGCTGAGTAAATCCCATCACTTGCTTTATCGATCGCACTGATCGCTTCGCTTGGTACGGTCCGTCCCCCAGCGGAATAAGTAACTCCCCGAATAGTCCAACCAATCAATGAAAACCCCGTCGCATCGCGGCGTTGAACATTGGACACGTTGGAATGAGTGCGCTCCCTGCTCGACGCCGTCCTTGGCTCCGTTGGGTTCTTCCGATTTTTAAATTGCCGGAAGGTCACGGCCGAGGCCGTGGCCCGTACACCGAATGTAGTGCGCCCTTTGCGCCATTATTCTCCCCTGTACTGCGTTCGCCCGGGCATCTTCATCGCGCATCGACCGCTTCATTTGAGTGCCGTTTAAAGGCCGCGTCAAGATGCGCATCAAACTGTCGCTTCTTTTGTGCAGGCGGCGAGCGCGTGCCCGGGGCGGAAGTGGGCCACGTGCGCCACACGTGTCCCGGGCGTTCGCACCCTTCCTTCGCATCAATGTACCCCCCCCTCCCCCACTACTGAGTGGCCCACAGACCCTTTCACCTTGAGGGGGCCACACCACTCCTGTAATCCTGTGTACAGGTGGAAGTGTAAATCCCTATGTAATCCGTATAATACTTAACCAAATTTTGAAAAGTTATGATAACTTATCAAAATTTAATAGTTTTAGCCCCAGAAATTCAACAAAAATCATGTATAATCCCTATAATCACGTAATCCTGTGTACATCTTAAATCGAAGTGCGGTGGCCCCCTCGTTTTATCTACACTGCAGTTTACGCGGCAGTTCGGCTCTGCCGCTGAAGTCTCACAACTCGCCGTGCATGCGGGTTGCCTGACTCCGCCTGACTCACACGACACGCGGTCATAAGACGATGGGTAAAGGAAGCCCACTAGTTCTGCGCACAGGCGTCAATAGTGAGTCACAGTTTGCCATTGTAAGTTTCAGCCTCAGCCATTGAAAGTACTGTGTGGGGTTCAGGCGCGGTTTTATGGGGGGGGCGAAGGGGCGATCGCCCCCCCCCGTCGGCCCAGATCGCCCCCTGGGGTAGGTAGGCAATTTGTCCTACAAAACCCCTGAAAGTAGGCAACCCACAGCAAATCGCCCCCTCCGTCAGCCAGACTTAAAACCGCGCCTGGTGGGGTTGGACGAGCTTTGCATTTCGCGCCTGGAATATCAAAATGCTTGCTGAATGCCGCAGCTTGGAAAAGTCTTTTCGTGGTGCGCGCTTAAGGGCGCGGGCCGACGATAAGAAGAGAGGCGCCGGGTAACGAGGTCGAATCGCATCGCGGGATTTGCTTTTAGTTGTTTATCGACCCTCGCCTGCCCGTGTATTGTGTGTGGCGCCCGGGCCGGCCGGCGCCAGCGACATAGTGTCGCGCTTCGCAATCATTCATGGTGCGGTGCGAGCAGCAGGGGCACGGCCAGGGGGGCATCGATTGGGCCGACAGTGCCGAGCACAGTGCCGAGCACAGTGCCGAGCACAGGGCGCAGCCGGCGTCTTAAAGGCGGACGCGCGAGGACAACACTTAACGGCGTTAGTAGGGGTAAGCGGGGGGGTAGGAAAAAGAAGATGCCGGCCTGAGCCAATCCTATTTCTTTTGGAGGGCTACAAGCTTGCACCATTTAATTTTATAATGCAAAAAATTCCGCAAAAAAAGCAAACTTCCTGAACGCAATCATG